TACATGCCCGCTCGCTCACTCGTGATTTCACTAAAAGCAAGCCACGCGTACGAAGTAAAAAAAGTGCTGAAGGCGATGGCATGCGCTGACGAAAGCACGTACTTTTTTGCCACCTTCGTATATCCTCTCTTCTGACTGTGTAGAATGCGAGTCTTTGTAACTGCGCACGTACTATATAGGTAGATTCAAGAAAAAATTTTCGATAGCTAATTTGTGAGGCAAAAAACTTTTTCGGTGAACCTATTCGATGATTACTTGAAGTGTTGCAGGGCCCTTTCAAGCAGACAGAAGCAGATGCCACTAATACATGTCTGACAAAAGGGGTTCCTCGTCGATTGCTTCCTCCCGGTCTTGCTGATCTGAACACACCGGCAAACGTTCACGAACTGTTCCATATATCTGAAAGTTCGTCATAACCAGGTTCACCTTAATCCTACTGCTAACGCTAAGTTGATGCCGCTTGCTCAATTGGTTTCGGCTCGGCATAACTCACCACAAAGTATGTCTGAGTCATCAGCAGTTTTTGCACGCTTCTGCCAAAGACACGAGCTTGCCCAGCATACCTCGAGTGTTCCTGTAAAAAGAGAATGCATACCTGGCAAGAACACGTTGGAAAAGTGATGCTTTCTCTCGAATGCATTGTCATTTTATTTCTTCGCGGATACAGATCAATTAATGGATCCTTTTAATTAATTAATGGCCTGGACGGAATCTCAGAAATGGACCGTGGCTGTAGACCATCTTCGGGAAGGTGCACGGCGTGGCACCGGTATGAAGGCTTCAAGCAGCAGTCCTGGGTGGAGTGGAGCTCCAAGCTCATAGCTGCCTTTGGCCGGACACTCTCCGATCTCCCTTCCACCACCCAGTCCAACCTGACCGGTACCGAGGATGGAGAGAAGGGTTCTATCTCGTGGCTCCAGCTGAGCACTCTAGTACTCCACATGAGCTTCCAGACTCGTCGCTGGTACCGGACCCAAATTCGTGTCAGCCATCGGCCACCCCGTCCTACAGAGGACGGGGTGGCCGATGCAGAGGGGCACAGGGTAGCTGGACCCTTCGTCAACGCGCCCACTACCATATATCGAGCTGAAGTGGGGCGGCAGCTCGATGTCTCATCGCAGTCCTCCAGTCTGACAACAGGCTACAAGACCACCCTCGAGCCTCAGCAATGGGAATCGCAGCCTGTCCAGAACGCCGACAGCAATGAAGACCAGTGCCCCAAACTGTACCAACGGAATCGCCTGCTAAGCGTGCTGCGACCACTGCGAAATAGCCATGGTCACCGACCAGAGTGTTCGACAGCCCCGCAAGGCGAGTCATCGCGTCCACGAGAGGGACCCCACAGACGCAGCCAATACGATGACAGCGTCGCAGAATGTCCTGCCGCAGATGCCAAGACCGGCCGTGAATTATGTTTTCTGCCACACATCACAGAAGTTGCGTACCCATTTTCGACACCAGCCAAGGCACCTAGCGCGTCTTTTGGGATACGCTTTCGGCAACACTCGTCCGGCGTTTTACGTCAGCCGCTGATTTTGCGGCCCGTCCGAAGCGCGCTGTCAGGAGCATGTTTAGCTGCTTCCCACAGAGAGTCTCTGCATGGCCGAGACCGACCACAACGATGCAGCCAGTCTCGGCCTCCCGATAGACTTGTGGCAGACTCCGGCACCCAGCTCCAGCGTGGCCGAGGCCGACCTCCGAGATGCAGCCAGTATCGACCACCAGATCTACTTCTGGCAGATCCTGGACCAAATCGCGGCATGGCCGAGAGCGTCAGCCGCAACGGGGCAGCCAGTGCCGGCCGCCTGAGTCCATAACACTTTTTCCAGAGACATCGTGGCGTGCAAAAGAGCGAACAGCTCGAGGCAGCCAGTGCTGTCCACCAGAGACGCTTCCCCCAGACCGTCGCTCCATGTTGCATTGTGGTCCGGGCTGACCACCACGATGCAGCCAAGCCCGCCCACCAGAAACTTTGCCGCCGGCTCCGCGCACGCGCAGTCATGGCTGAGTGTCATGACCAAGAAAGACGCTGGCGCTTCGGCGCGCGGGTAGCTAGGGAAAAGAAGAGAAGAACGAAGAGGCAGAATAGAACAGTTTGCCCGACGAACGGGCGTTGTGTCTGTCTCGCTTATTACAATATATATATATATATATATATATATATATATAGAGAGAGAGAGAGAGAGAAAGGTACCTAAACATCGCCTAGAATACTTGTCTCGCATTGGGCTTACCCTGTTCCCTTAATTAAAATCAAGGCTTTCAAGCACAATGACAAAAAAAAACATTCTGACGGGTGTCTACACCAACTCTTCATAATATGTGTAAAATCTGGGTAGCCTGTCGTAGGCACACAGCATATACAACACCACGACGATCAGTGCATGCAACTTCAATTTATGGAAAGTGCTAAAACGCTTCCCACATCGTTTATAACATCGTAGTGGAGCTCACCATGGCAATGGCGTCCGATTCCAGTACGTCTACATCTTGCGGTAGGCACTCGAAAGCATCGAAGTAGAACCACTGCTGGATGGGGTTGAACTTGCCACTGCACGCCTGTCAAAAGACAGCAATGGAACTGCGCTTAATAATAGTCGGTTGGGTTTTACAAGCAAAAACTATCAACGTGATTATGACGCTCGCCATGGTTGGTCATGAATGTAATTATGAGACTATTATGACGGTGATTATGGGACTGGCTGTTAATCTCACTGGGTTAATTTTTACCGCCCGAGGTTCTTTATCGTGCAGCTAAAGCTAAGCATACGAGTGTTCTTGTATTTCGCCACCATCTAAATGGGACTGCGACTGCTGAAGATCAAATCCGCACCCCATTAAAGTCCCTGGAGAGAAGTTTTTTTTCTTTTCCCCCCCAAAAGTATTGTCGTTCTTTTTACCAAGCCGCCACGCCACGTGGCTTCATCTCGCCTCGGTGCTTTCCGAGGCGTCCCTCGGACCTTCATTTGGGACACGCCCGCAAACCATTTTTTTTCACTTGTTTTCATTTCTCGCTAATGTTATCACCTAGCAGAAACGCTCGCGGGCGTCAGATAACGCTACCCCTTTTCCTACCTACCTCTTTTATTCCCACTACCGTACCATCCCTCTTCCGACCTGTGGAGGTGTCATCGTAAAGGTAGACAGTGACGGGTGGCACTTCTGTCTTCTTTTCCTTTTCATAACCACTTAACCAGATAACGCATAGTTCTGCTGCCTGCATGGTAAACGTTTAGAAGAGGATATAGAGTAGACGTGGCCTGTTGGAAGATGATCACTGGCCTGTTGAAAGAGGTTACAAAAGAAGAAAGCACCGGAGCGAAGGAGAATGTCGCTACTTTCTGTGCCACATCCCTAAGGTTAACAGCGCCTCATTTCATCCGTCTAAGTTACGACGGCCAGCGCGACGACCATTCAAGAACGAATAAATGTGATAACTAAATTGATAGCCGCGCTAAATTTTGAGTAAAAATTCATATGCAACGTTGTTGCGTTGTGTTACTTAGCGATGTATGTTGTTCGTATCTGAAACAGACGGCTTCGATGTTGTACTTTTCGTAGACTGTGTTACCTATATAGATGTGGGCCGCCGTGCCCATTTCGGCCTGCTAAGGCGATGTTTTCTTGTTTGTGTATATTGGGATGTGAATTAACAAGGACATATAACGTCGTATGCAACAACCCAATTGTTTTCATGCGTATGCGTATATTATAACTCTTCATGTTTAGTTGTTAAAATTGCAAAACACAAAGGTGGCGGCACTGAAAAGAATCCGTAAAATGATATATGTGAGCATCCTAATAGAAACATAAAGCGAGACCTAAGCTTTTTAAAATTGGTTTTTCACAGTGGCTGTTTCAGTAGGCCCGCGGACAGTCTCCTGATCACTGTCGCTGCTTTTCGGCATGAGGTCACCGGCCGAAATACCTCAAGGAATAAATTTCATCATCCAACATAGTGGTGGCGTCGACGAGCATGCAGATAAACCATCGTAAGGCGTTTTCGTTAGAACGTATCCGCCTGTACCGTGATCTACGTCACCGGGCCGGGATATATACGCGTAGGAGGCTCTGAACCGTATTTTTCAGGACAAACACCAGCTTGCCTCCGGGCCACATGATGCCGAATCCGTTGGTCGTCGTCTGCAAGGGCGGTAACGATGCATCTCGAATTCGCCAATTGCTGCCGAATCGAGCTGACCATGCTCACGTGGTGTTACCACGATCATTCTTTATGTTACAAAAGGTTTCGTGCGCCGGGTGGATGCCTTGCGTTCGCATTGAAGCTGATGCGAGCCTTATAACAACGAGAAACGTTTGCAGTGGTTTTCACTGAATGCAAAAGCACGAAGAAGAGGCCCCTTGCTACTGAGTCGAGATTTAGTAAAATTGAAGCATCCCCGTCCACAATTAACGAAACATGAGTGATAGTCCGTGATATCTAAAACAAAACTTAGTCATTGGGGGAAAATGAAGGAAAGAAACCCATATATTTCATGGAAACCGTCAACTTGTTAGTGCGAGTACAAACTCCCTTTGTAACCAAGGCTATATATCTATAACGAAATAGCCCAAATAAGTCGACTTCGGGCAGTGCTATTGCGAGACTCAAACGACGCACGGACAAATGACGTCACAAACTAGTTGAAGTGATTGTTCTCGAGCGTCATTCAGTGAAGGATAGCCGAATTTCTGGAGGCCTCTATTGCTTCGCCGTTGGCGATTTGTGTGTGTATGGTATGTCAGTCTACGTTAAAGAACGAGGTCTGCCGCGATGGTGTTGCGATGCTCGACTGCTCATACGAAGGTCGTGGGGTCGATCCCGGTCGCGGCGTTTCGATTTCGGTAGTGGCCCGTGAACTGTGCGATGACAGTGCACATTAAGAACACACCAGATAGCCGAAAATTCCGGAACCCTTCACTATGGCGTATCTGATATTCATAGCGTCGCTTTGTCACGTTAAACAAATAATAATAATAATAATAATAATAATAATAATAATAATAATAATAATAATAATAATAATAATAATAATAATAATAATAATAATAATAATAATAATAATAATAATAATGATAATAATAATAATAATAATAATAATAATAAATTATTATTATTATTATTATTATTATTATTATTATTATTATTATTATTATTATTATTATTATTATTATTATTATTATTATTATTATTATTATTATTATTATTATTATTATTATTATTATTATGTTAGGTCATTTGGAATTTCTGGAACGCGGAAGAAAATGGCGCAGAAGAGGACCAGGCTGTTTCAAACAAAAATGTGTTCGCCGACGTGTGTGTACAAAATATATCTTCGAATCGAAGTTTTTCAGTTGAACGGCAGTGTTCTAGTGCTGATATTTTTTTCTAATCGTCTAACATGTGTTGAAGAGTAACGCTTGAATAAGTGGAGTTCGCTCAGTTGCCCCCACGACATGCGCGAACAATATACAGACAGCCGAAGCACATGTCACGAACTCACCTTCAGAACTTCCTGCGCGGCGATGCTTCCGATAATCGAATGCATGGGACACAAGGAACCGGCAGATACGCAGGAGAGCGTCGTTATTAGTTCCTCGTCCACGGTTTCCAGCGGTGTGGCCATCGTTGCGTTCAGATTCTTGGCCAAAGTGACCACTGTTTCTGCGTCTTCCTGCGATGACAAGCTACACTTACAAAGCTACATGTCTAGCCTTAAGTCTTTTATGCAGTTCACGTAAAATGATAAAAAGGCGAATATATACGCGGTCAATCATTTTGCAAGGGAACACGCGAGCGCATGGCCTGCGCCATCCGGCGGGCACTTGCAGCACGTTGAAGCGGGAGCGACTACACTTTTCGCGTCATCTAGTGGCGGGCAAAACAACCAGTCATTGGTAATGTGGAACCAGGGGCAAGATCGCAACCCCCTTTCCCTTGAAGGAGATTATTACGCAAGGCCCGGCCTCTTTTGCATACTCCTTGAAGTCGTTTGCAATCTTGCCACTGGTTCCACATCCCCAATGACTGGTTGTTCTGCTCGCCACTAGATGACGCGAAAATAGGCTGTGGTTGCTCTTGTGGTATATTAAGTAGGTGTATTTGACGCGTGTTTCAAGCGAATGAGGTATATGCAATTTCAGAGGGAACCAGTGAGCGTTTAAAAATGATTTAAACGCACTATACCTACGGTAGAGCTGTCTACAGCAGAACCTTGAAGTCGACAAGATATATTTAAAACAGAGCATTAACAATTCTCGATTACTATAAGTAGACTATGACAGTGCACAAGCAAGCCTTGTCTTTATAACAATGTATACTAGATCCCTCGTGTAGCAACATAGCAAACATAAGTGCTCAAAGAAATTTACTGTCAGAGAGAGTGGACTTCAACAACGTTTTGTGATTTTTTGATGGTTTACAAAAAAAAAGTGTTTAACAATTTAGAGTACGTTGTACTCTACTGTGGGGGGGGGGGCAGAAAGAGGTCCCTCAGCAACACTGTCGTCATACTTTTCAGAAAACGTGGGCAACGATTTAGAGTGACAGGTACTCTACTATGGGAGAGCATAAAGCCGTCCCGCGAACCTCATAGTTGATAAGGAGATTGAGAAAGGGAAGCTTATTGTACACATAACTTGTACATGCACAGACGAAACATCGAAAACAAGTAAAGACAGTGTATACATCTTACAAATGAGCACCAAAATCTAATTGATAACTGGGTATCCAAATGTTACAAGTCAAAGGAAAATTAAAATGAATCAGGTTAATCACATTTTACAGGATAACACTTGTGCATGCGTACTAAAGTGGGCTGGAAACCTCAGCTGTCCCTCTCTTGCTTTGAAGAAACGTGTGTGCCATCGTCGAAGGAAGGCCTCTTCGCCGCGCGTTCCCAGCTGCTAATCTAGGTAATTCCACACAATGAGCCGTATTTTCTGTAGTGTGGGATAGACGCCTCTATGCGGCTTGTGCCGTACTTCCGCTAAATAGCGTAAATATGCGTGATAGACTGCACCATTGTATCGTCAACAAAGCTGACTGCATTTAACGTTCACATCTCGAACCTACACAGTTCACCTTGGTGGCTTTCTGAATTTTTTCAGTGCATAGTACGACGATTTCTCATAACGGATGCGCAATCTGCACAGACTTTGTTGGTTTTGTTGACCACGCATTGCTGTTAACTCAGCAGCCGTGCGTTGTCACAAACTCGAACCCTTTAGCACACTTAGCACATGCACTGTCGATGCACATGAAGGTTTTGAAACTCGGGGCCACGTTGTAGGATTGAGATTGCATGAGCACAACGGTACTCTGGTAATGCCTGATAACCATACCAGCCAGTGGTCGTAGAGTTATCTCTAAAGAGAAATAAAATGCAAATAGGAATAAAGAAGATTAGCCCAATGAGCATTAAAAACAATGCTGGAGCGAAAACACTCGCAACACACATCCCTGAAGGTGAAGCGATGGTTTGCCCGTGGTTTGGGTCGGAAAAACGTTCTTTTCAGGTGGTGCCCGCCAAGAGGTCAACTGGCTGTTCTCTGTTAGAGTAAATACCAAGATAATGATAAATTAAGAAATCGTTGATTACAACCAAGGAGGTTTGAAAAAAATGGCGGTGTGGAAATGATTGCCCAGGAGTGAAGCCGTGCCTATGGCAATATGGTGGCAGCGGTGGCCATAATACTAGGGGCACGATGAACTACCACTGCTCAGCTACTAAAAACGGAGCGTTTCTGTCGCAGGCCCGACGAGTTAAATGTGGGAACTTTTTGTGTCATATATTGCTCCAACTGCGTTTTATTTTTTGTAGTTTTCCTACGTAAGCACCTCTAATTGGAGGCAAAGTTCAATGGAGAGTCAGTCACCCATACTTGTTTTTGTGTTTTGTTTCGTCGGGAACAACCATCTTTTAATATCGAATTAACGTACCGTTTAGAACAACATGTCAAACCTATTTGATCTCTATAAGTGGGTACTACCAGAAAATAGCATGTTTTCCAATATCTTGGCAGGGCGAAAGCTGGCTTCACTTCTGCTAGCAAAGCATTGCGGGAGCTTTCACTCCGACAATTTTTTTTTAACCTTTTTGATTACGACGGAGGTGACCCATCGAAACGGACAGCATTTGCCTCATGCACCCTGCCAGTTGATGGCTTGATCTACAAGAAAATTTGCCTAGACTTTGAAACTACCCTGAAAAGAAAAAAACTTGTCGTGCGCTATCTTTTACAAAACATTAAGCATACTAAACTGGTAGGGAGTGTGAGGCAAACGATATGTCTTCTTTGTTACCACGCTAAAATTTTATCCCACTGGTAAGACGGTGGAATCTCGGCTTCACTTTCGATGCATGATTTCCATTTCAGCAATATTTAAAAATTCTCTTTGCGTTGCGCACGATGAATACAAATAATTGTGGTTGAAATTTATTATTATTATTATTATTATTATTATTATTATTATTATTATTATTATTATTATTATTATTATTATTATTATTATTATTATTATTATTATTATTATCATTATTATTATTATTATTATTATTATTATTAATATTATTATTATTATTATTGTTGTTGTTGTTGTTGTTGTTGTTGTTGTTGTTGTGTTGTTGTTGTTGTTGTTGTTGTTGTTGTAGTTGTTGTTGTAGATGATCACTGCAGTGCATATTCCACACAAGTGACCGTACTGAGTGTAGCGCTGATTTGATTTTATTATATGCCCTTATGCCTGTTTATTCCAAACGACCGTTTTTCGTTTTTTTTCTTCTGAAAGCCTGTACATACCTTACGTCTTTTAATTTATTTGTTTGTTAATTCGTAGACCTATCAAATGTGTAATCACTCTACAGAAATCCTATTAGAGTTCCGGTATTTATAAATAGATAAATAAATAAATAAATAAATAAATAAATAAATAAATAAATAAATAAATAACTTAATAAATAAATAAATAAATGAACAAATAAATAAATAAACTTAGGACATTTTAGCAACCCGTTACAAAGAGTTGATAGAAAAGGCTCACGCGTGCATCCTCCTATAATAGGTATTTTCAGATGTGCGTAAGAAACGATCCTACGTACGCAACACGATACCTTGCATACGCTGCAATCTAAGCACTGAACAACGCTTTTAGTATACTGTATCAATTTTGCAGGTATGAGTTTCGTTCAGCTAGATGTACCATACGGGAAATGAAACAGCTTTTCAGTGCTTCTTAGAGTCATCGTGTGGTGGGACGGTGAGAACGGCCACCGGCGTCTAAGTCAAACTGAATTGTTGAATCCATGGTTTTACGTTTTGTGCCATCTTGCGATCTGGCTGTTCTTTCATTCGAGATCTCGCGAGTGTGACGTAGATAGCCCTGCGTATCGCAGAGTTCTTTTTGTCTTTTTTTAATTGCATACGTTATGCACTTCGCATGTGCTCTTCTCCCCCGTAGCCGTGCTGCGCACGTATACGCTCGTTACGTACGCCCAACTAAACGTGTGTAGTAACGGAAAGGTATGCGCACTGCGCATCTAAGCCCTTAACATATAAATGTATATTACACAATGCAGTACGGTATACCATATGCCGTATAAGTATATGGGGCATTTACTCCCAAGGCGCGCTGTCAATTTGAGTGTTCACTAATCGGGAACGTGCCTCACGCACCGCCATTCGTCATTTTGTCCGCTCGCGATTTCACGCTTACGTAAGTACCTTGTTCCATGGCTTTGGTGGGCGTGAACAGTACAGTTCAAAGACGTGAAGGGCTTGGAAACCCAAGTGGAGCTGCGCAGGGCGATCCAGCTTCGCGAAATCTGACACAACGAAGTCTGGGTTTACCATGGACTCCTCGAAAGGCTTCTGTAAGTGAACAAAATATATTCGCGCAAAAATCTGTTTGATGCGTCAGATAAGCTCTACCACGATAGGCTATGCACCGTGCCATAGGGCATGCTAATGCAGGTCCAATAATAACAAAAAATATAAGAAAATGCCTAGTGAATGACTGACAGATATTGCGTAAGCATTGCGTAGAATTTGTAATTAGCTTGGTTGAAAGCGACAGCCAGATTTATGATGCATTTTCTTGCGCTTGATTTTTTTTATTAGTCATCGCATCGACTACCGTTGTATAGGAGTTACGGGGCTCTACTGCAGTTCCGAAGGCTACTGGTATGATGCCGGCCGTGTGGGTCGCATTTCGACAAAGGCGAAATGCTAGCGCACGTTAAATAACACAAGGTGGTCGAAATTTCCGGAACCTTCCACTACGACTCGCCTGATTATCATATCGAGGTTTCGCTTTTTAACTCGGTGCCTACGCTTTTCCTAGTATGGTAGCTACTCGTTGCGGCAGCTGTGTTGCCCCGCTTTCTCTGTTCACGAACTGTATGTTAAGATTACTTGTTGCGGCAACTGTGACGACCCACTTTATAGCCGCCCAGAGTACACGGTACTGCGTGGTACTGCATGGAGCTGCAGGCAGCAGCCTTGCTGTTATGCTATTTTTCTGTGCCATCTGTTCTTGTTACGCTAACCGACGGTTACATAGACACGTCTACACGCTTTCCTCTCGAGATTTTACAAAAAAAAATAAATAAGCGTCCTCCTCTAATGGTAGAGTAGTGGTTATGACACTGAACCTGCAGCCCGTAAGTCACGGGATCGGACTCGGACTGCGGCAGGCGCATTATCAATGGAGGCTGGAATGCTTGAGGTCCACGTGCTTACGAGAGATTTTGGTGCCGGTGAAAGAACCTCCAGGTGGTCGAAACTTGCGGATTCCTCTACTGCGACGTTCCTCATAATCATATCATATAGTTTTGGGACGCTAAACTTCAAGATTATTACTAAAACATTACATAAGTATTAACAACTAAACTCACAAACTTTACGTCCTTTGGCATTTTAACTTGCGTTGCGACGCCGCCTGAGCTGTAATCGCCAAACTGCGTCGTGTCACCCACGGAGAATTCCGTCGGGCCTTGAAAATAAACGCAGAGCAAATGAGAAAAAAAACAATACGTCAGCAATGTGAGCATAAGCCACTGAAACCCGGTATAATTTGTACTTTACAAGAAATACGCATACGGGTATTGCACACTACTTACTTAGCACCTTGACTTTCATCGGTGGGTAAGTGTTGATCTCGTTCATGCCTTTCACTTCAGAGAAGGTGACGTGATCCCCGTCTTGAAAACCGTGACGCGTTTCGTCTAGGCAGGTAACTACGCCTTCTTTTTCCTATGGGGACACGTGTAGGGAAACATGTGTAAGCACGGTGAGTGAAGGTGCGAGAAAACTAGCCGCACAAATCACTACACACTAGAAGGAAAAAAAAACAAACAAACTATTAAGGAAGCCATGATCATCAGAAGAAAGTAACGCGAAAAGGGAATCTATTCTTGCTTATAAAGTGTAAACTAAAGTTGCTAAAGTATACACGGTTCGCCCTGACAAAGTCAAGTCCTGTTGTCGACGTTTCTACTGCACTGGAACTCCACGTTTAACAATTTGTCGTCACTACAGGCTGAACAGATGTTTGCTTTTTTAACAATTTGTCATCACTACAGGCTGAACAGATGTTTGCTTATTCTGTCAAAAACTGTTAGGGTGTGTTCAACGGTTTTATGCCCACCACGTTCTATCAGAAATGCACGTGGATGCACTCGTCGTGCGAGTCAGCAACTCGTATAATCGCTCCGAATAGATCTCGCAAACGTGAAGTAGTGTCGTGAGTGTCTAAATGTGCTAGTGGACACGGTTATGAACGAGAAGAAGCGATGGTTTGCTCGATCAACCAGTTAGCCATTTTGGATGAGCACAGCTCGTCCTTGCCAAAGTGTGCCCAAACCGTTTTGATCGAGCGTGGCCCGCACCGCTTGAGATGTCGCCCCTAAGAGCGCTTTGAACGTTTCAAGCTAATTCGTTTGCAACGTCTATTATTTTAACTGTCATTACATACTTATTTCACAAAATGTATTTAGAAAATGTTCTCCCGCGAAGGAAGCGCGTGCGTCAATCGTTCATCATCGTGGAAAAGAAGCCTTGCGTCATCGTACCGCTCTTCAGGAGTATAATTATGGAAATTTTGTAGTTTACTTTGGCGGCTTGACGGGCGATAATCACCTGCTTCTTGAGAACGAAATTATTTCATCAACTATGAACTACACAAACAGCTTATGTCGTTAAGAATTATCTAGAAATTCAATTTTATTGGCAGGAGATTTTAACTCGCCTCACACTTCTTAAGGGTTGAAAACAAATGGCTGTGGCAAACTATTGTGGAATAGGTTGCACTATAATAATTTTCGTTGTCATAATTCTGGACAAGTTACTGGCATCAAACTTTGTTGCGCTAAGTTGGACTAATATAGACGCCAACTTTTCTTTGTCCGTCAAAATATGTTTTTCAAAAGGAACATAATCTGTATCAAGATAAAAAAGAAACTTCTCAAACAGAATCTCCCGAAAAGACGAAGGGGTGCGAACTTTAAACTTAGGAGTGAACAGGGTGAGTATACCGGTTAGCTTGAGTGGATGTATCGATAACTTTGCACGTGAGTGAGTGCCAGCATCTACTGCCCTTTGACACAATTCGAAGTGCCTATGAAACGCGTTGTAGCTGGGCCCTTAGACAAGGTGGTTGGTGAAAGGCGCAACTCTCGACATCACAAACTGTAACATCATCCAACTGTAGCATCATAGTCGTTCATCATCATCGTCATCATTTATTAGCCACCGTGTCTCGCCTCTCGCGTAGCTCATGCTATAGTTCGAGCTGCCTAGCTACAGATCGGGTTAACGCGCCTCGCGTGTCGGACGCCGGCAGCCGCTACCACCCAGCTTTACCCGAATAATAAAGTAGCGAGATAGGCACCGCTCTGTGGGCCGCCTTCACGACGTCCTCTCACGTGTCCCGCCCTCGAAACAGTTACCATCCCAGTACTATACTCCACCGGTTCCGGCAGAGACAGTTCAATTTCATGCGATGCAGGTTGCGTGTGTTTGCTCCGGGCTTCTTGATAATATATTTCATTTTTAATGATTTCCATAAACATCTTCGAACTTAGTGGGGAATTTAGGTTGTCAATGTACTTATGGTTTCAGACTTTCTAGTTTTTATATACCACGTAAGCATACATTCGTGGACAAACCAAGGTATTAGTGATGATCTGCATATTGAAATATCAATTATTGGTGTCGGTAACTTCAAAGCACCAGTGAATGGGCATCGGGCATACTTCTAGAAAACATGTCTAATGTATTCGTTTTGAGCGTGACCATAGGTGGCGTGTCGATTTTGTTGACTGTAGCGGTTACGAATACTTCTGACCAGTCTCTAATTAATGAAAGATCTCATACAAGCTTCACGATAACTGTTGCATAAAACCAGGACCAACGTGACAATCTCCACAGTAGACAATACAACAGCAGAGTCACAACATAATATTTTATGCGAAAGTCACTGTTCCAAAGAAAAAAAATGAAAATAAAAAATCAGTCGGCAGTTTTAAACAAACCGCAGGACTGATAAATGCATTCTCATAGAAGCTGCTCCATGCACGTTATTAAGTGGTAAGATGTATAGGCTAAGAACGACAGAAGTCCAAATTGTTAGTATGAATCCATAACAGAAGCAGGCGTTCAGACACTAGCACTATAGACGATATTATAACACGAACGCCATGTTGCTGACTAGCACCAAATGACACACAAGGGCGTTTGGGTTGTTCTTATCTCTTCTACTGTTTCCACGTCTGAACACCAGCTTCTCGTAAGGATGTAAAGAAGACATTGAAGCGTGCATTAATTAAGCAGGAGCAAACAAGAACACTGTCACGCTTAAAGCCACAATCAAACTAACGCTTAAACGCCTGCTTGCAGGAACACCTTTCTAAGGCGTGAACAAATTTCAATGACGTGCACACTTCAGTGTCGTCCCTGAATGTAGCATACCTTCGTGATGGAGCCTATAGGAACAGACAGCGGTTGCTCTCCATTCGTGTCGGTCACGCGGAAGCTGTCGCCGAAGTCGCAGAAGATCTGCCTGCAAGACGGCGAATATGCACGCACATATGCGGCATGACTATTTGACTTCAAAATGGCAGCCGTTACGGTGCTAGGAACACGGCTACGATTACACACCCAGCGAGTCCACGGGTGTCGGCGACAATGAGAGCTACGTTGTTGCGACGAGCGATGACAGCGATAGACTCCTGTTCATCCAATGGCGTCTCTGTCAACACCGCCACCTGGGAGACGACGCGCACATTTGTTTCAAAGTAATAGTCACGAAAATCGGCACTAAACTTCTAAGCGTTGATAAATGGACCAAAGGTGAACTATTCCGAATAAACAATGCACCACATAGCTAGCCCTTTCTGCTTTGCTGTACTGTAGTTTGATATTTACATACATTTATAAGAAAAAAGTAGTATCACTAGTGCATAATTTAATCTACAAGAGATCCAGTTCCTTCGACGCTATTCAGTCACCATCTGACCGAAGGACCGAGTTGGTCCCAAAACATCGAGACTATACTTTAAGCTCTGTCTGGTACTAGTCTATTTTACGGAATAGTAGGTAATAGCACTGCTTAGAAACTCTTTCTACGATTCTTAAGTGTAAGTCAGCCTACAAAAATTTGTATCAACAGGTTCAAGCAATGTTTACGTTCATGCTTGTGCCCATGGTGCGTCCTCTTTCACTCAGGTGAGTCTTAATAAAGGAAGCTGGTTGTCAGACAGTGGAACATATTTGTTCATGCTGGTAACAAGCGATTAACCTGCGAAATCGTGGTTCTTTACCATGCAATGGCGAAGTGAAGGTGGGCGTTATATTGAGAGGCCGATCACCCCTTTGACGGAGAGACCTAGCTGATGCGAGATTATTTCAGACAATATAGCACTGCTTAAAACCCCATACAAAAATACGAATATTTCGACTAACTTCAAGATCCCGCAGATTTTGCCAAGAAGGGTTTGCCAAGTTCAAGACCTCGCTCTGTTGAACACAACATGACCAGGTATTGACTTTTTTTTCTATAGTCCGCGACTTCGCTTGCTATGCTACGGAAAGTAACAGCTGAAGATCACTCACATTAAACCGCCTTAGAAATTCTGCATTCAGTGGCTCAGTGTGGGATGTGACTCGAACGTACTCGTTGAGTCGTGCCAGCGGCTCTTCGCAAGCCTCGGCTCGATTCTGCCCTACGTTTTCCTCGTTCAGGTAGTACTGGAAAGACGTGTGCACATTAGAGCATGGTCAAAGCTGTCTCGAAACTGGAGCTTCCTGAGCTAATGCTAACCATAGATTGTTAGGGCTGCCACAGAAGAATGCGCGTTTAGACACATCACATCGTAAAATAAGGTCTAAAAGAGGACACAATGGGTGAAGGGGACAACGCAAGCTATTTTTAAAACCCTTATTAAAAAAAAACAAAATCGTCAGGCCTGCGCGGAACGCACAGCACAGTCACAGCGAAAGCATGCAGAGTGGCCTTTAAAATATTTTCTAAACACTTTTTGGGTGAAATGCTAGAGGCATCTACCCACTATGCTTCCCACTATGCCACTATGCCATAAATAATCACTACCCACTATGTCACCCACTATGCCATAAATAATCAGAATGTCTCTGTAGTAGGCCGGCATTCATCATGCTTCTCTTCGTCATTCTTCGGAGAAGCGTGGTATCCGCTTAAACAGTTGTAACGAATTTCGCTACGAATTATGTGTTGCATTCAGTGGCTGATGACGACGAAGAATTACGCCTGAAGTGGGTACGTGCAAGAGTTGATAAGTGACGAAGAACAAGCTTTTGTAATCTGGTGGAGCATTGGAGGACCCACTCGTTACGCGATTCGCATTGTGTGACGCCCAGTCGTTCCTTTCCTGTTCTAAGACGCTTCATTACTCATATTACCGCGATTTCTACATTAAGCCTGTCTAAGGCAAGTTTTCGACCGAGTCGCGAGCATCGGCGTGTCTCAGCGGTAGAATACTGGGCTGGCACGCAGTGGACCAGAGTTCGAATCCCACAATGTCTCTTTTTCATGCGATAGTGGTTACGGACACCCGCGGCAGCAGCGGCGGACAACCACGACACCGCGCGTGACCCGTGTTGTGATCTCGTAACGTCTTTCGCTGTAAAAAAAAAAAACAGGGACACCTGTTAGAAAGTGATCGTGTTCTAGCCTTCACCTCTTATGCATGTAGCCTGTTTTCGCACTCTTTCTACAATGTTATACTAAAGCGCCCAGCAAATAATTCTTCTGTATCCAGGACATATGGAATATGCCCAGGTGTAGTGGGCCGCACTCTATCAGTCCTGTGCTTTGCATCATCCGTATCAGGCGAGTACGTATTCATTCACAATTTCAAGGAAATATTACTACTTCTTAAAGGCTGAAGATAGTGACAGGCGCTTTTCTTTTCCTCTTTGTATGTAACCACTGCCTTGCCCGAACCGCGCGTGAATGTCTGGGAACATTCCCGATAATTTTGTAATATTTCAACAAGATTTTGCGTCCAATGTAAACGCTATACGTTGAGTTCAGTTCGGAGCTAACCTGGCTACAAACAATATCATGGGAATCTTCGATGCTACGTATATAAATGGCGACGTGGTTTACTGCTGATCAGAATACTCGACGACTATGTGCGCCGATATCGTTGCACATTAAGTATCGCTTTTTCTTCCGGGCACAAGTTAAACAGCTTCATTAAACAGCTTCATATTTATTGACTGCAACTGCATTCTTTATAGTGGCAACCACATGATTTACGCTGTAGGTGTAGTTTAGAAGTCTTAACTACTGCGTTTTAATACTGGTTAGACAGTACTTAGTACAACGCTCATACACGATATTTTCGGCAGAACATGCACTGCGTGGTAAATTGGAAAGTTTGAATCCTGATTACCCTCGACAACGATGGTGGCATCAGTTGCCGGTGATTGTGTTAGAATGTGCCAGAAAGGTTTGCTTCTTCTCACCTGAGATGAGAGGTCGACTCGGGTGCACACCGTGTCATCGTGAAGGGTCACTGACCTCACCCCAGCCATAATGACGTTCTTGGCCACCTCTACTCCGAGGCCACCCAGGCCTGAGATGAGCACGTCTGACTGCGCTATCAGCTCCATAGCATCGCGCCCGAGCACGTAGCTGCGATGTAAGCTGAGCTTTAGCTTCAGTTCACTAACAATTTCAGTGCCACAATTTTGACACAATATTTGGAATTGTTTTGAGGACAGTTTTGAGACCTGTGCACAGAGGGGGCGAAAGGGGGGCGAAGTTTGACCTATACATTGACGTAATAGGGAGGGGGGCGCTGCGTGTAATTTTCACCGCACCCCTGCTACCAACTGAAAAAAAAAAAACCCTGCTCACACTCAAAATTGAGGCCTTGTGAAAAAATTAGCTTTAAAGAGGGGTTTTCAGCCCATATTTTATCGATGAAAAACATGCCACAGACGTGCAGAAGTGAGTCGAACCACCAAACCACCGTAATACGATAGTATATTACCGAAAGCGCAAAAATGAAAGTGGCTACGCCTATGCAACAACTCGATACTTTCATGTAGCTACATTGCATAAAGGGCTGTTGAAGGTAGCTTTTAGTGCACCACTGTCACAGCTTATCGACAAATGGTATTATCTCTGGTGATAATCTGAAATTTCGTCTTGAAGACGACAAGATACGATAGGCTTATAAAAAAAATCAGAAACGATCGTTGTCTGCAGTTCAAACTTGCGACGTTACTGAAAAGGTTCAACTCGCGAGACATGCTCTGTAAGAGACAGTTGCATAGTGTAAGTGGGGAGGGACCGGTCCGATACATTGCACCTAATAGGACAGTACTTCCCCACTTATGACTACGCTGCCTTCAGTGCACGTCCAGCTTTTTTTTTTCAAAGTGCGTGCACCTACATGTAAGTAAAGTTTGCGCATAAGTTTAGACATCAGGGCAAAAGATAGGACACAGGGGGCGTCTCAGAAAACGTGCATAACTTCTAAATTTTGTTGGTGAACAACTTTCGGCAAGAACGTCTCCAGAAGGCTTCATGCTGCAAGAGAACTAGTACATTCGGTACACCCCTGCAATTATATTGTAACCGGAGCACGAAGACACAAGTGCCACAGAATGGAATATATTGACACCTATTTACGGACAACTGTGCCCCGTAATAGTCATCAAAATCTCGCGCAACCCACCAGCCCTCTTGTTCGTATCTTCATCTGCCACAGCAAGCGCATGCACCATGCCTTCGTAACACCATTCCCTGCGGACAAAGCGCCGTCATGGCGCCTCCAAAGTCATTCTGGACTGGCAGAGTAATAACGCTTTCGGCGCAACACATGAACGATATCAGTAGGTGGTGTAGCAGAAGATGTGTGCGTATGAACAGGAATGGTTAGGTAGTCCACGTCAGGGGACCTTGTGGAGAACTTTGTAGGGCCTTACATGCGCATTGAGGGAGGAGCTTCTCACACAAGCTTTCGTGTCGATATGGCATTCAAAGGAGACGGATGCTTGGGCTACTTGGGGATTTGAAATCAACATACTCGCACAGCGCAAAAAAAAAAACAACGGGTAGTTACAGCGTAACTATGGAAGGAAGAAACGTGGACAGGAAAGAGCGGTGACTTGAACTAAATTTTATTAGCGAAAACGCTGGAAATACATACACATGATAGCAAGCAGCATACCAGAGGCATCATACCCAGAGGACGCAAACCACTTCTACCGTACTTGTCGGCTCATTCTGAGCTCGTAAAAGAGGAATTGCTAATCATCGTTTCGACAACGCTCTTCGCAAGTCTTGCGGTCACTTATACATCAGCAGCTTTTTGAGCAGGCTACCCATCTGATAAGCGATGGGTTGTCTGATAAATGCCTTCTCTATTTTATCAATGCCAGCCAGATGCACCCGATCCAGCCGTTCACCACCCTGTCGTCTAGTCCTTTCCTGCTCTCACCCATCACCTAACTTCACCTGTGCTTTCAGTATTGAAGAAGAGAACCTCTTATGTAGTGCCTCACTGATGGAAATCAAAGCAAGCAATTTTCGCTCAGCTGTGTACAGATCCGTGGGGAGGAATCTTGCGTCCCTCTTATTCACAATATTGGCGGCCACGCTGGCTCTGTAAACGTTTGGTCTTTAGGATGGCGGGTAACCGTTCGTGGCGCTATGCGGGCAGCCAATGGGGCAGCGTCATCTGCAACGTTATACAGCATGCGCAGCGCTGTGATGCGGTGGCGCCATTGCTCCAAGCCACAAAGAAGGAGCACGAAGGAAGAAAACTGACATACGTATGGAATTAGAGTTGGAAACACGTCTATCGCATCTCCGGGGCAAAGCGCCCGGACGCACGTGGGCTGAAGGCAGCGCTACGCCTCATGTAGCGTCACATCACGACCACTCCTCGAACTAAGGCGGACCGAAGAATCCCGTTGAGAAGCATGCGTTTGCACAGGCATTAAAGAATTAAAGGATGGCGTTGCCCTAGTCATGTGCTGGTTTCGGTAACGGAAAAGATGCTTAGGGCCGTTAAGCAGGGACGTGAAGCACAGCAACCTGTGTCGGCCAGTAACTCAAAGCAGCGTCGTGGTGCTCCCCTATCTACATAAAATTTCGCCCAATTCGAAAAAAAAAAAAGATACGTGATAAGGTTGACGTCAGCGTTGTTTTCTCTGCCCCAGAAAAGCTTTCAACGCTTTGTAAACGTGTGAATGCGCAGTTCGCACAAAGAAGCGGCTGCAAAACCAAACATAGGAGGCAATTCGCATCTGCCGTGGCTGTTGTTACTTGATTCTGTTGTCCTGCAGAAAGAGGTATGTTGGACAAACGGGCAGGTGATTGAAGGAGCGTTTAAAAAAGCATCACTATCATGTAAACACAGCTGTTAAAGGCCACCTGTATTTTCATTGCAGAGATTGTGATTGTGAACCAGGAATTTGAAAAGTGCACCATTGTCGCAAAACATCGTCAGCAGCGAACACTGCGAGATCATTGAGGCTAATCAAATGCGACTGGTTGGTGGCCTATGTGGTAGCATCCCGTTGGTTGAACTTACTAAATAATAAATCGAGTAAGTGACGCAATAGATTCGAGTTCGTGCTCACGTGTGCTGTTGTACTCACTTAACGAGATATTGAGTGTCTGGCTATGACGCAATAGCTTGCGCTATTGTACTGTGGGGTGCTACTAGCTATATATACAATGTGTACATATTTCTAGCGTTTTCGATAATAAAATTTAGTTGAAGGCAGTGCTCTTTCGGGTCCATGCGTCTTCCTTCTGTAGTTACGCTGTAACTACTCGTTTTCTTGCGCTGTGCAAATATGTTGAGTCCACAGGAGGACAAAGAGATTCCGTAGGGTAGCCGACATCAGTGGCACCTCTGATCATAGCCCAGGTTTTGTGAGACCTGATAAACACAATGCCTGGTGTGCACGATTCGGCGAATGACGAGGACTCGCGAAGCGACGTCGTGAGCATAGACAACTAATAGCGACGGTATCAGATGGAAGGAGCGTTTAGAATGGTAACGTCAAGCTTCGGCCGTACAGAAGAAAAAAAATCGGCAGATTCTACGTACAATGGGAATCGACTGATATGCGAAGCACGAATGAGAAATGTTGATATGCCACTCTAATTTCAGCACAAAGTTACGAGGTGGAGGTAAATTATGCCGTACATTGACTTCCGTGTCATGATTATTATGTTGGATGTGTCCTTTACCTTCATCATCTATTCAAGTCACGTGATGCCAAATTTAGTATATGTGGAGCTAGTGAAACGGCCGCGAGCATGCTATGATCGTGGCATGTAGTCATGTTCTCACATTGAGACGCATTTCATGATTATCATGTTTGCACCAGTCACACATTTTCGTGATTAATTGGCGTCCCGTGATTCCAAATTTGGCATATGTGAAGCTAGAGAAACGGCCGCGAGCGTATCATTAGTGTCGCATGTAGTCATGTTGTTACATGACACGTATCTCGTGATTATCATATTTGAATGTGTTATTTACCTATGTCGTCCGTTCGCGTCGCGTAATACCGAGTTTGGTAGATGTGAAGCTAGTGAAACGGCTGCGAGCACAACATGAGTGTGGCATGTAGTCATGCTGTTACATGACACACATGTCATTATTTTCATGTTAGGGTCTCTCACATGTGTTTGCCATGCAATCGTGCCATACCTTACCAGTTTCGCAACATGCCATGTGAACAAAACCACATCAAGAGCTGCAGACCATGTCATGTAAATCATGAACATTCATGATATAAGTGTCGTAATTTTTATGTTATGACTAGTCAGAGATGTTCTTCATACAGTCATATTAGGTCATACAAAGTTTGGTGTCGATGCCATTATCGAAACGGCCAGGAGAGCTAAAAGTCGTAGGCGGCTAGATAGATAGATACGCTCAAATTTGCCGTAAGTTCGCTAAGAAATGCTTCGCATTTAAGAAACGGTTAGTAGCCGTCAGTGTCACGTCTGCACAAATTGTAAACAAAAGTAGCGTAGGGTAGGGCTGCGTCCCATTTACGGTAGTCAGCAGAGACGTACACTGAAAACACATTCGCTTAAAGTTCGGTTGGATAACCGTTAAGACCATTGGCCTGTGGGTGGTAGGCTCTAATAAGCTAATGTTCGGTAGAGCAGCTACATAGCAGTTAGTCGAGGACTCTTGACAGGAAGCAGTGGCAACAATGCGTAAGAATCTGGCGTGGAGCGCCATGTCGAAGAATTACGTTATTGAGAAGAAAGTCTGCAACGTCTGTAGCCCAGTTAGTTGGCAAGGCATGTGTAATGGCATGCCAGGTCACATAGTTAGTTGTGACAGCAATTCATTTGTTGCCTGATACGGACGTAGTAAAAGGTTCGAGCAAGTCGAACTTGGCGCGAAACAATGGTTCCAGTGGAATGTCGATAGTTTAGAACAGGCCGGCCTGAGGTAGAGCGGGACGTTTGCAACACCAACAGAGCTGGTAGGCAGTGACATATCAGCGCACAGAACAATACAGACCAGGCCAAAGGAACCGCTGCCGCACATGGTCTTAGGCGCATGAAACGCCCAGGTGGTCCGCAGTAGGAGCATCATGCAGATATTGAAGAATGGTCGCGCGCAAGTGCTGTGAAATAACTAGCAGAAATTCGGGACCATCAGGCGTCATGCTGCCAGTGACACAGAACGCCATTGTGTAGGACATGCTGACGCGAAGAATGGTAGGAATGTCTCTGGGAGACTTGTTGAATGACCGTCTTGAGAGTTGCATCCCGACGATGTTCTGCCCCGATGTCGCGGAAATCAGATATGGTGAGTATACAGTAATCATTTTCATGGGTAGCGAACTTAACTGAGTCCACTGGATGGAGCGGAGGAGAATCGCTGTCTTGATGAAGCTTGCCATATTTGTAGATTAAATCGATGGAATACTCCTGGAGAGTATTGCTGGAGAGTAGGGTCCAGGGACCAAGGTGATAATTTGGGTCTTTCAGCTATGAAAATCAATGGAGAGCGTAGATGTCAGTACTAACCGAAAACTGACGGCCGTACTAGCTGGGGCGAAATTTTGCAACAGCCCAGACCAAAGCAAAACACTCGCACTCCGTTATGAAATAGTTCCACACAGAGGCATGGGAGAAGGCGGCTGGCAAATTCGATAAAACGTGTTTGGCCATCCTGATTTTGAACGAAGACGGCACTGATTCTGTGCCCACTGGCATCTGTTCGAGCTTCAGTGAGCACGAATGGGTCGAGGTGGGTCAGTATTGATAGTGAGCTGAGCAGGTTGATCATCGTCGAAAACGTGGCCGCTTGGTCTTGGACTAACGAGAAAGACACGCCCTTTTTGAGAAGCTCAGTGAGCGGTCGAGATATACCGGCGAAATCGCGTATATAACGCGGGAAGTAAGAGCATAAGCCAACAAAGCTCAGCACATCTTTAGTAGAAGACATAGGGAAGTGCTTCACAACGCTTATCTTGTCAGCGTCTGGTTGAAAACCCGTAGAACTTATACCCGGCGACAACTTTCTGTGGCAGCACGGCCAAGGCTACGTGGGCGGAGCCTATGCACATGTGCTACTGCGCCAAGTAGTCTGACCGCTTCGACGGGTGTTTCGGTTTCGATTTCTCGCGTTTGCTCGCGTTTCGCTGCAGGAAACGCGAGTCGCAGGAAACGCGAGTCGACGGAAGCCAAAAAACCCCCAAAAAACCTGAGAGAGCGTGAAACGAAATTTTTTCTACTGCGCAACGTTTTTATTCACTAATTAAAAAATAAATCCGTGAAAAATGTAAGTGACGAATGGTAAAATCTTAGTTACCCAGAACAGTATACAAACGTTTTCGTTGTGGGACTACATGCTGTGGCGCAGTAAGACAAGCGTGCTTCGGCTCCGTAGCCTTGGCTGTGCTGCCACAGAAAGTTGTCGTGGGGTATAGAAGATGACCGAGCAAAGTTATTTGTTGCCGGCCGAAATTTCACCTTTAGGGGCGAAGCTCCTTATAGCGGCACCCGTTCGTCCCCCGTAGTATGTAACAAGTATAACATTTTGACCTCCAAGGTGGTGCCGGTGAGAGACTTCTTCTGTGCGTTGTTGAACAATAAAAAATAGTGCTCAATGTACATGTCGATGGCTGTTAATGGGGAATGAGAGACAGGAGCATTCGGCTTTTAGTGGACGCGCAGGCTGCGATGACCATTAGCAGCCATTGGCATGTACATTGAGCACTATCTGACAAGAAAGGGTTGCTACGTTATACTTGCTGGGTGTAACCTCCTTAGCTTTAGAAAGGTTTAGCGAGCGTTGAGCCGCAGTGCCATGAATACAAACTTGTATATACCATGAATGAACTCGAGGTCGTTAAAAATGGGAAGTAGATACGAAGCGCAAGCCGTAAGAAAGTAAAAGCCGAATTCTCCGCCTCTCATTTCCCATTAGCAGCTATTGGCATGTACATTGAGCACTATCTGACTGAAAAAGTTTGCTACGTCATACTCGCTGGGCGTAACCTCCTTGGTTTTCGAAAGGTTTAGCGAGCGTTCGGCCGCAGTGCCATGAATACAGTGAACTAGTATATACCATGAACTCGAGGTGGTTAAAGGTGGGAAGTGGACCCGAAGCGCAAGCCGTAAGAAAGTGTGCATGTGCCACCTCTCGTTTAGTCCTTGGAATGTCCACTGGATGGCGGTGCTTCTATATGGGGAATATATGATGAAAAGATGCGAGATGGTGGTACTTGGAGTGTTGAATAGATGGACGAACAGATACATAGACAGATGCATGGATGGACGCATGAACAGACGCAGGGGCGGCTGCATGGACGAACGCAGGGACGGCCGCACGAACAGACGCACGCACGGACGGGCTGATGGACGCATGGACGGTCACACTGACAGACGCATGGACGGACGGAAGCAAGAACGAATGGACGGACGAATTCTTCGCCCCACTCTCCATCATTCACTCCGTGGATAAGCTGCCATTTTTTTGGAGCTTAGCTATAGTCCCGCTCGACGAAAGACAGCGAGAATGGTCGACAAGAGAGTCGGGTGGCTTTCAAACGCTGGGAAAAAGGACAATGACACCGCCGAGGTATCAAGGACAGATGGACGTCTATATTTATAGCCACGTGTGAGAGAGTCCATCGCACGTTCGAACGTTGCCGGCGTTCCTAGATATTTCAGAAATGGCGGGAGTTGTCAAAGCACTGCTGCGATACAGCCTATCGCCAATATAGAATAGCACACTGGCGATATTCTCTAGCACTTATATGTGACAATTATGCCTTCCCCCTCCCCCTGTCCCCTTCCCGTGGATATGTGCTCGACTGCGCAGTTACCAGAACCGGTAGATCGACCAATCCCCACCTTCGACTGCACTGCCTCCAGCATCAGCTCGACAAATACCCATCGCATTTCCTAAATCATTTTGAAGTACGTTGTCCTATGTCAGTCTTATCTGTGTCAGTCACACGAGCCGTACGCGCTCGCGTGGAGTTCACTCACAGTTGTCTGGAATAGAAGTCCTCGTCAATATAGGGCGTGTTATGTGCGGTGGAGTCAGACCTGTTTGCCCGGTTCTGCGACGAAAACAAAGAAAAATAAAAGGTAAGGTTTGCCAGATTGCGTACCATAATCGCAGAACACCAATTACCTACGACTGCAAACGAAAAGTAAACATACAAAATAAGTAAATAAAGGGAATGAGAATTGAGATCTACTACATATTAACCTAAGTATTAATTTGGGTGGGTTGTTTTCGCCACACAAACTGTTTGCAAGGCTTCAAGTTTATACACCGAATAGCTGTCAACAGCTCAACTTTCTCCCGTTCGAAGTCAACACAGTGAGAAATATGGTCACATGTACTCGCCGCTCTTGGGTTTCAGGTTCGTGTCTTACACTCGTAAGAGATGGTTTGGTCAGCTCTTTCTTGAAAACGCCATTATGTTTGTCGAGTAGAACTTGGTCATGCACAACAGTTCGCGAAATCGAATCCCGGCAGTGGCTGCCGCATTTTCGATGGAGACGAAAATGCTTGGGGCCCATGTGCTTAGATTTAGGTGCACGTTAAAAAAAAGAAAGCCAGGTGGTCGAAACTTCCGGAGCCCTCTACTACGGCTATCTCTCATGATCTTATAGTAATTTGAAGACGTTAAACCCCAACAAATATTATTATGGCGAAGTACATTATAGTATACGCCTAAAATGTGCCATTTTTTCATGAAAACCATCCTTTGCAGGCCAAACTGGCGTCAGTGTGAGAGACATCCTAATTTCGCTTTCGTAACAAACATTCTGCATTTTGTCACTCATCTTACAGTACGAAACTTTCGACACTAATTCCCACTCACCCGTACAAATATCTTTGACTATACGTCCCGGTACTCGCGTGTCGCCTCTGTTTCTGTAAAGTAGAATAAAACTCACTGGATCCCTTAATGTATTCGCCTAAGACGACTGGAAGGCGAAAGCTATCTTTCGTTTTCCCTTAGTTAATTTTATTGATACCTACATTGCCAGGGAAAAAGCTTTCTGAACCTCATGTGGCTTCAATTAATTTATGAGTAAATGACGTCATCGTGTGATGTCACAGTAACGTCATGATGACTTAGAAGTGTGGCGGCTTGGGCTAGTCGGTATGGCATGACGATAGTTATAGCGCGAGAACAAAACGAGCTACACAGAGTACAAGAAGGATAGAAGAATATTTGTGACGTCCATGATGACGTCACAAATATTATCGATTTGTGGCGTCATGAAGACGTAAGAAGGTGACGTGAACACACAGTTTTTTTGCTTCGCTCGCGTTCATGCAGCCGACGCCGTGGAACACTTTTCGCGCTTGGTAAGACATCTAAAGCCTTCACCTAGCCCAGTGTCCCAATCCTGTGGAACACTTATTCAGCCGAAAGAGTTTGGGTCCCTCCTATAATGCAGGGTTCCACTTTAAGGGGGCAGGGGGGGGGCATTTTCTAGGTTAAATAGGGGAGGCGCCTCCCTACTTGCCCCCTTACGCACACGCCTACGAGCCCTCACCAAGCTTGCCAGTGAGGCCGGTGCACTCACCTTTGCACTTGCCGACGAATCGACGTCTGTATCGTCATCGGTCCTGCGTCGCTTAGCCGGAGGGTTGGTATCCGCATCTCCGTCATTAGAGGTCGCCATGCTACTTGACTTGGAGCCTGGCCCACCTTGGTCAACAGATAACCTGACACTGTCTTCCTCCGCGACTGCATTCACTTTCGCGGTGACGATGATGATGACTCTCTGTTTTGACCCTTACCCCACTGGGGGGTCAGATTCTGCGTTTAATGATAAAACGCAGAGGTACCTTTTGTAAGGTTGAAATATACGTTTTTTCCGATCATGTGGACACACAGCGACACTCGCACACATGTTCTGGGAGTGTAGAACAACTCCTCCCGACTCTACCTCAAGCAAGTGGGAGAGGTCCCTCATGAGCTCACTTCTCGCCGACCAGCAATTGGCCGTCCAGCAGGCCCACGAAGCAGCTGCCAGGTACTCCCTGTCGGTCCCTACGTGGGAGACGCCCGCTACGCGCTAAGCGCGTCCGGCAGGACTGAAATAAAGTTTTTTCATTCCATTCCATTCCGACCACCATCATCATCGAGAACAATGTGCACGCGCCACACACTGCACGCGAAGCACCAAAAGGAACGGCACGTTCGCAGTTGATGTCGAGCCGCGTTCATCGCCAGGGTCCGGCCACGCACTTGCCGCTCCCGGAACCGTAGTTGTCGTAAGACCCGCTGGACAGCCAGTGAAGGCCGCGCGCGGACACCGGTGGCGATCAAGGCGTGCACGAGACGAACGAGGCGGCATGTCTGGATCACGTCATGTCCATTTCTCTGCAAATGACGGCGACGACCATGACATCACCCCTCCAGCGAAGAAACGCAGGACCGACGACGGCCCCAGCCACGACGAGTCCGGAAAAGCGAATGTGAGTGTGCTTCTCGACGCTTCGCTACTTCGCTCGCGTAGACGAGGCTTAACTGACGAGGTTTTGCACCTCGCAGGAGTGGTAATCGCTTATTAATACGCATACTCGCTGGCACCGTGCAGTCTGAGTTTTCCAGACTTACTTCAGCGCCAGAACACATAGCTCAGTGGATGAAAAAAAAAAACATTGAGGTGGTGTGGGTCACCCTCATTTTGAATGAATGAATTTTGAATTTTTACCTTATTTTGAAATAATAATTAAATTATTAATGGCACATAAGTAAATTGTAAAACCTTATACAATTTTCAGAGGAGTGGTTTGATACATAAAACTTGTACAACCTTAAACTACTGTATTGACAACCTTAACATCCCCCTCCTTTTGTTGTAATGTAACCAATTGAAGAAGGGAGAAGCGATATGAGAAGGGAAAAGAAAACATAGCTATGTACACGGCGCACTATGGCTGAAAGCACTTATACAAACAAAAACAACAATTACAACATACCAGTGTACCAAGCGGTAGGACTTTACCATTCTACAATAAATTAATGCACATCATACACACAAGAATGCACACGTATGGTAAAGACTCCAACATGCAAGTAAGAAGAAGAATTTAGGACACGAAGTCCTTAAGCCTGGACGTGTTTTTACGCGAACGTTTAGAACCCTAGGTTACTTGCGCTCTGAAGTGCTTCCATGCGGAGCAGCAAGTTGTTTATGTGAGGATGCGCCTACGCGTACCTGAGCAGCTTACGCGCTGCTCAGGGACAGCTGAGAGCGTAGAGGAATAGCTGGAGTCCGACGACTGACTTAAGCGTCCCTCAGTTGTTGCTGGGGACGGTGAACCCTGAGGTGAAACATGGGAACCTGAAGGTTCGGAAGCATGTCCATTAGTGTTAAGAAGGGTACTGGCATGGGAAACTGGGCTCGTCAGTCAAGTATTGATACGGAGCTTGAGAAGGGTCCGATGACACTGAAGCGTGCTCGGTGCACGGTAAACTTCATGGTGGCTAGGCGCACACAGCCGCACTTGAAACCGATGCCTGAATGCCATTTGCCCCAGGGAAAGATGGTGATGCTGCAGAAATGGGGATAGAAACTATTCGTGGAGGCGAGGCAGAGTATTGAGATTGGTTCTGCAAAGGTATTGGAAGAATGCAAGCGTGAAGGTTGTTCTCGTTCGTAAAGGAAGATTACAAGTTTAGAAGCATTCGAAACCGATCCATCACTGAGCTTAAATGCTTGGGATCCCATCTTCGTCGCCAAATTGTAGTATCGCGCGCCGGACGTGACGCACGGAGAACACAAGGCATAACGCTGAAGCGCCGGCCGATAAGAAGTACGCTGCGATTGGTAGCCAAGCAGGAACTGAGTTATTATATACAATGCCGCTTATATATACACAGGGTAACGCCCCCTAAGGGCGAAAATACTTTGCATGAAACCGAAACTCGCTTTGCATGAAATCGAAATCAAAACACACCACACACTATACGTGGGGAACGTGTAGCCACAACGCACGGCAGCCGGCCAAGATGTCTGATGAACATTTCATGGCCTGCCTCTCTCCTATTTTTTTTTTCTGCACTGGCCTCGTTACTCAGAAGCATTGATAGGTTGCGTCTGGAGTCTATCTACACGCTCCGTCACCTGGTCTTCTATAATAGACCTAACTGTCAAGAGTCCTTTGTTTTGTATGTGTAACGTTCTTTGCTTGGCAAGTTGCATTTTCAACGCCTAACTCTTTTGAGATCAGCCATGTAATCGGGTCCTTTGCAGTAGAGATGCGCGTTGTCATCCGTGCATGTCAAATGTAGACTTCGATGTTTGCACAGCCTATGGAACATCTTGGTCTGGTACATCAGCAACCAGACCAAGATGTTCGCTCACATGGCTGACACGGCACATGCTGTTAAAAATTTGACGTTTTTTTCTGCGTGAATGTTGTGGGGGTTTGGCCGGCTTGGTGCTTTGCGCGTCCCAGTCCTGGAGAGCTCGTACAGCACAAGTCTTAAGCCCATCTTTATGCCCACTTCCTGAAGGCTTTTAGAATTTTCATGCAATTATTACATTACTTCTGCGTTCAAAGCTTTAAGAGAATCTAAAACTGCGTTGCTCCAAGATACTTGGCTGATTTTTTCACCTTATTTAATGTTGTCTCGAACTATGTCCACACACACACACAAAAAAGAGGCTGAGCACTATAGAGATATTGCTCTGCTTTTTTGCTCCTGACATTCAGGGCCTTCTTGTTATTAACACGAGCATTTTATTTTTCACTTAGTGAACTAAATATTCATGTCTAGAGGTCACGTTCTTTATTTAAGCTTCTTACGTTTCATCTGCTTAGCACTAGACTCTCCTGTATTGACTCGCTTTATCTCCGAAAAAATATATTTCCATAGGCACACTCTTGCACAGAGCTTTGCCTGATATTTTTGGGGTGAAGCTTTTTGAAGCGGCACCCGTTCATCACTCGTAGTAGTGCGTGACATGTCTTACGCTTTCACCTGCATGGTGGTGCTGGTGGGAGATTTCTTCTGTGCGTTGTTGAACAATAAAAAATTCGCAGCGTGCGCGTTAACTAAAAGCCAAATTCTCCTGTCTCTGATTCTGCATTAGCAGCCACTGGCATGTACATTGAGCACTATCTGACAAAAAAGGGTTGCTATGTTATACTCGCTGGGCGTAACGTCCTTGGTTTTAGAAAGGTTTAGCGAGCGTTGGGCCGCAGTGCCATGAATACAGCGAACTAGTATTTGCCATGAACTCGAGGTGGTTAAAGGTGGGATGTAGACCCGAAGCGCAAGCCATAAGAAAGCGTGCATGTGCCACCTCCCGTTTAGTCCTTGGAATGTCCGCTGGATGGCGGTGCTTCTATATGGGGAATATATGATGAAACGATGCGAGATGGTGGTACACTGAGTGTTGAATAGATGGACGAACGGACACACAGACAGATGCATGGATGGACGCATGAACGGGCGCAGGGGCGGATACATGGAAGAACGCAGGGATGGACGCAAGAACAGACGCACACACGGACGGGCGGATGGACGCATGGACGGTCACACTGACGGACGCATGGACGGACGGAAGCAAGAACGAATGAACGGACGAATGCTTCGCCCCACTTTCCATCATTCACTCCTTGGATATGCTGCCAGTTTTTTTCCTTTTCCCTTTCTTCTCATGTTTTATTTTTTCCTATTTACTCTGAGTTATTTCGTCCTCTCACTTTGTGCATTTCCTTTTTTATTGCTCTCACTATTTTCATATTTTCTCCCTCTCTCTATTTTAGCTTGAGTCTTTTTTTATTTTCACAAGAAAGTGTATTTTCACATGTAAGCTCCCCTGACATATTTTCGTCACTGATATCGCTGATATGACGTTATAAAACGCACACTAAAATACAGCGACAGTGAAGAAAAACTAGAAATAAAAATTGGCAGATCCCACGTACAGTGGAAATCGATAATGTGCGAAGAAGGAATGAAAAATGTTGATATGTCACTTTAAGATGAGCACAAAGTTTAGAGGTGGAGGTAAACGATGCCGTACATGACTTCCGTGTCATGATTATCATGTTTGGATGTGTCGTTTACCTCCGCAATCAATCCACGTCACGGAATACCAAATTTAGCACATGTGGAGCTAGTGAAACGGCCGCGAGCACGCTATGAGCGTGGTATGATGTCATGTTCTCACATGACACGCGTGTCAGGATTATCATGTTTGCACCACTCATATATATCGTCATCCATTGACGCCGCGTACGTAACACCAAATTTGGTATATGTGAAGCTAGCAAAACGGCAACGAGCGCATCATGAATATACTCCAATGTAGCGTTGACACACGCGCCCGCTGGGCACAGCGACGCTACGTTTGCGAAACGCGAGCACTCTATAGTCTGACGCCAGGCGTGATTAGCGTCCTTCGGCGCGGCCCGACGGCAACCGGCGCGAAATGCGACATGCTGTATTTCGCGCCGATGCCATAGAGTAACATCTCTGTAGTTCATGCGTTTACCCAGACAGTTATCATCACGGACTCCCGGAAAGCATGTGCTCATTACTTGGTAGGAGAGATATCCCCCCTAGCCAGCCAAATTCTAAAACGGGCTCTCGCTGATCCAGCCCCGAAACTCATCGTATGGGCTCCTGGCCATCAGGGCTTACGAGGTAATGAGGCCGCTGACGCGGCCGCCCGAGCGCTTACCCACCGGGCTCCTCACCTTGGCTCTTATGACTCGGAGGCCAATACACCGCTGCTGCGGTTCAAACAAATTCTGACCTATTATCGCGACACTCACCGCCTTTACCCGGCTCCTGCAAAGGGGCTGAGTAAGGCGGAAGAGCGAACTCTAAGGCGCCTGCAGACAGGTACTCTACTCTGTCCTGCAATCCTAAAACATTTCGATGCGAACATAGATGGGCGTTGCCCACACTGTGGGGAGACGTGTGATATCTTCCACATGGTATGGGCATGTCCGAAAATCCCCACCTACCCCCTTCCCCTACCCCTTCCCGAGAGGCAGACAACAACGCGTCTTGCTCTTTTCGTGATGGAGGGACGCCGGATGCGCTGAAATGCACATGCGTCAAAGCAACGCAGCGCGGCGCGCGCCTGCGAGTAAATGGCAAGTTCGGTGCCTGGCATGGCAACGCCGGCCGTGACGCGACGAAATGAACGCTGGCGAGCACGCGCACCACTTCATGTCGAAATGCATTGGCGCCTTGACTGTGGCATATAGACATGTTTTCACAGGACACGCATCTCATAATTATCATGCTTGCACCAGTCACATACCTTCGTCATCAATTCACGTACCGTAGCACCAAATTTGGTATATGTGACGCTATAGCGAAACGGCCGCAAGTGCATCATGAGCAGGGCATGTAGTCATGTTGTTACATGACAAGCATGTCATGATTTTTTATGTTAGGGTCTGTCCTTTATGTTTGCCATGCAATCATGTCATACTATACCAGT